TTTCCCCCATCTCCTAGTTTAAAAACTGCTCTACAACCTTTTTTAATGTTTAGTGCCAGCAGTCTGGTTCCACTTTGGTTTAGGTGGAGCCCATCTCTCCTGTATAGGCTCCCCCCATCCCAAAAGTTTCCCCAGTTCCTAATGAATGTAAAACCCTCCTCTCTACACCATCATCTCATCCATGCATTGAGACTCTGAAGCTCTTCCTGCCTACCTGGTCCTGCGCATGGAACTGGAAGCATTTCTGAGAATGCCACCATAGAGGTCCTGGATTTCAGTCTCTTCCCTAGCAGCCTAAATTTGGCCTCCAGGACATCTCTCCTACCCTTTCCTATGTCATTGGTACCTACATGTACCACGACCACCAGCTCCTCCCCAGCACCACACATAAGTCTTTCTAGATGCCTCGAGAGATCCACAACCTTCGCACCAGGCAGGCAAGTCACCATGCGGTTCTCCCGGTCATCACAAACCCAGCTATCTATGTTTCTAATGATAGAATCTCCCATTACTAACACCTGCCTTTTCCTAGCAACTGGAGTTCCCTCCCCCGGAGAGGCAACCTCAGTGTGAGAGGTAACCCCAGCACCATCTGGAAGGAGGGTCCCAACTATGGGAAGGTTTCCCTCTGCTCCCGTTGATTGCTCTGCTTCCCTGGGCCTTTCATCCTCCTCAACAGCACAGGGGCTGTCTGACTGGAGGTGGGACAATTCTACAGTGTCCCGGAAAGCCTCATCAACATACCTCTCTGCCTCCCTTAGCTCCTCCAGTTCCGCTACCCTGGCCTCCAAAGTCCGTACGTGGTCTCTGAGGGCCAGGAGCTCCTTGCACTAAATGCACACATACGCCACCCGCCCACAGGGCAGGTAATCATACATGCTGCACTCAGTGCAATAAACTGGATAGCCCCCACTCTGCAGCTGGGCTTCTGCCTGCATTATCTCCTAGTTAATGAAAGGGTTGTTTAAGCAAAAGGTTTTGAATGTAGTTTGGTTTATAGGTTTTAAGGGGAATAAAGGGACCCCCGCTCCCTTCCCACTCCCCTTCCAAACTCCCTTGCGAAACTCCCTGTTAGCAGCCCCTGGTCCCTTGTGCACTGCTTTATAAAGCCCTGGCCTATGTGAATGCCCCGCCCACTGATTAAGGCTCAGCCAATTACCAGAGGCTTCCAGCTTTCAGCCCTTCCTTTGAAGCTCACAGCTTTCAACTGCCAGCCACAGCAGACGGTCATTCAAACAACCAACCAACCACCAAACAGAGGGACAAACACAAACTCAGCACACAGCAAGTAACCCCCAAACACAAACACACACTACAGACAGTCATTTACCCCAAGAGTGCTGTATTGCTCCTCCTTCACCTGGAGAATTCCCTTGCGAAACTCCCTGTTAGCCTATTAAATATCTAGGTGGCTGGTTGGCAGCCAAACAGCTAATGAGTCTGATAAAGGGTTACCAGGGCTCAACTGAAGGGACCTAAAGACAGGAAACTGCTGAGGAGAAGGGATCCCAGGAGAACTCACAGAGCAAGGAGCCTGGAGGGGATGCCCCCAGAAAGAGGGGCTCCTTCCATAAGGAAGACAGAACCAAGCCCGGCTCTGGGAATGGGGGGGCTGAGGGACTCCTGACTTGAGGAGAGTGAGGAGCTGGAGTGAGAGTCAGGGCTGGAGCAGAGCAAAGGAAAAGATTTTATTTTGGGGTTTATGTGGACTGAAAACAGACCTCACCAGGGGACTTTTATCTCAGACCTTTTGTACTGTGTGGAGTATTGTAAGGAGTGTGAAGAGGGTAAACTGAGGTGGGGTGTTTGCAGGGCCACCCTGAGCCAGTTGAGGGAGTGTGGGAGGGGGATGTGAGAAGGGGGTGACGATGGGAGGCTCGAGATCTCTACAGGCTCAGGGACATGAAATGGCCCAGACCCATCTGTGACCAGGCCCAATGGACACAGACTGCACTGGGCTGGAGGCAGTGAGGGGGAGGGGAGCAGAGGTGGGGAGGGGAGCAGGGATGAAATGAACCAGATCCTAGGTTGGTGCCTGGAAAGAGCATCTGGCCTTCCTTCCTGGAATCTCCTTCCTTAGAGGTTTTAAAGGTCAGGATTGACAAAGCCCTGGCTGGGATGATTTAGTTGGGATTAGGTCCTGCTTTGAGCAGGGGGTTGGACTAGATGACCTCCTGAGGTACCTTCCAACCCTGATATTCTATGATTCTTGCCTTGCCCTGCGATTCTGTTCTGATCGTTGCCACCCAACTTCTCCTCCTCACCATCCTGGGTGCCTCACACTCACTGCCATCCCCTTCACTGGCTCCACTCCTTTTCCTCCCCTCCCAGGCTCTGCCCTGCTCACCCCCTGTGGCTCCCTCACTATCAGCCCCACTCACCATCATGCTCACTTTGCTCTCTTCTCCCACCAGCTCCCCCTCTACCCAGAACAAACTCCGTCCGTGGTTAAAGTGCTGTCCTAGCAGCAGATCTAGGCCCAGCTTCGCCACAGGCTGCCTATGTGACCTTGGACAAAGTCACTGAGTCTCTGTGTGTTTCAGTTCCCCAGCTGTGAAATGGGGATAATCGTCATGGGTGGTGGGTAAAATAGGCCAGGCTCTGGCCGTGCCCATGTTCCGCGCTCTCCCCCAAGCCATTGCGCAAGCCGGCGGGAGCTCAGCTTTGCCGCTGTCTGTAGGCTAAGGGCACGGTGCTGGGGGCAGTGCTGAGGCCAACCATCGACCTGGCACTGGAAGCCGGCATTGGGGGCGGTACAGTGCTGGTGCTGGCCAGTGGCTCGGGACAGTTTGGCCAGGGCTCCTCTGGCTGCTGGGGGTGGGGTGGGGTGGGGGGCGCATTCAGGGCACTGGTTGACAGGGGTAATGGACATTTGGGGCTCCAGCAGATGGGGGTTGGGGAGGTGGGGCCTTTGGCAGAAGGGGCTGGGCTGTGTGGCTAGCTTCCCCGAAGGGGGGCTCACGTGCCAGCCATGATAATCATCCTTCCTTCCCCCATCCTGTGTCCGTCTGGTCTATTCAGACTGGAAGCTCTTTGGGGCAGGGATGGTCTGTTATGTATTTTACAGCTCCCAGCACCAGGGCCCTGAGCATGGCTAGAAACTCCAGGCTGTCCTGCACTGCAAATAATATCTGTATGTTTAGGGTCAGATTGTGCCACACTGACTCACGCTAGGCATCCCTTCGAATCCCATTGTACCAGGGTGGCAGAATCCGTCCTTTAACTCGGTAAGAAATTCTATTTGTTTCATGCTGCCCTCAGATTTCCCAGGTGCTGCAGATGTTCCTGTTGAAGCCTGCACCTGGGGTGAGGAGTTGTCATGGAGCGTGGACAGCTGAGCAAGGGACTTGTGGTCCAGGGGTGAGGAGCGGAGGGACGCTTCTTCTCTTTCCCTTGGAAATAACTTTAAGGGTTTGTCTACACAGGGAAAAGCCCTGAGTAGCTAGTGCAGAACAGCTAGTCAGACTGCCTGCCTGTGCGGACACTCTGATTCCATGCTAAGAGTGCCCTTGTCTGCTTTGGGTTAATCCACAATGGAACTGAGTGCAGAATAATAGTGCCCACATGGGGAGTTAGTGCGGAATAGCTTTAAATTCACACCGTAACTATTATGGCGCAGAACAGCGATTCCACACTAGTCATGCTGGGCTCTTCCCCCTGAATTCCCCACGCCGACAAACCCTCAGTGTGGGGAGAGGAGGTTTGAATTCCTTGTTCCTCACTCCAGCAACCCTTCTAGAGCCACCAGCTGCCCCTCTGTCTTCCACCCACTCTCTGCCACTGCATCCAGCAGGGTTGGATAAGCTCATCGGCTGGATGTTTCTGCCAAACAATGGTGAGCAGTGAAATAAATAATTAATCAACTAGAAGCTATAACATAGCAACAAAAAGCAGTTAAACAATGGCCTGTGGCACCAGCTTCCTCCTCACAGCAAGGGGTATGTGTGTGGGTGTGTGTTCTCTCTCTCTCAAACTTTCACATGGACAATGATATTTTGCCCCACCCCTTAGTTACTGTGAGAGCTGTGAGAGGACTGCGCAGGGATTGAGTATCCCAGGGGAATGGGACTGAGAGGGACTGCGGCAGTATCAGCGTTAGTTACCTGCATATCCTCGGGCTCTGGTGAGTCCTAAAATAATCAGACATGAGAATTTACACAAACAAAATGCAGACTCAGCAAGTCACAGACTCAACAAGTCACACACTATGAAAAACAAATGACACGGAGCTTACCCAGTTCTGCCAGAGGGTCCATGGGAATGAGAGGAGAGAAAAGGGAAAAAAGAACATAAATGAATCAATAGGAGAGATTCTCAGTAACAAAAGTGCCCAGTTCTAAATCCACATTACGTTGGCCTAAGTGAGAATTTTGCCTGAGTAAGGACAGCAAGATTGGGCTCCTAATCAGTAGTTAGGGCTTCACCTTTATCGCACCTGATCCCGCAAAACCACCCCCCAGAAATCAATGGATAAAGGGCTTAGTTCTCTCCCTGCTCCGGTCACTGTGTGCTAGGATGTTGCAGACTGGTTGGGACCAGGCCCTGGACATCAGAGAATTCCCCTGGCGTAGGGAGAGCCCAGCTGGGGTAAAACAGCGTAACTGGCTCCTGTGCCAATCACCCCCCTCATCCCGGTGTAGGGGGCATGCCAGGGCTAGGGCTGGGGTGTGTGTGCTGGGGCAGAGCAGGGCACATCACCAATTCTCAGGGACCGCAGCCAGCTGGAATCAGAACAGCCCGGGGGCAGCCTGAGAACCAGGGAGCCATAACCAGCTCCTGCCCTGCCCCCGCCCCCACCTCGAGCAAGTCCTGGCCCAGCAGAGAACCTGGGCCTGCAGCTCAAAGAACTCTTTCTTCATAAGTGTCTCCATCATCTGGGTGATGCTGGTGACCCCAAGGGGTGCTGAGCTCCTACAACTCCTGCCGGCTTCAGTGTGATCAGACCCATGTGCCTGATCCTACAGCTGCTGTGTGTGGTGTGTGGAAACCAATAGGGCTCAGAGGGCCCGATCCTGCTCCAAGGAAACCTATGTGTGCGGAAGAACATCCATGGAGAGTTCACAGTGTGGACCCTATTCATGTAAAATAATTATTGTTCTCATTACAGGGTGTCTCTGGTGTCAGTAAGTTTGTCTGTTTGTGTTTAAGACTGTATTTCCAAGGGTTAACGTGAAAAATAAAACTATTAATATTAGGGTTGCCAGGTGTCTGGTTTTTGCCTAGAACACCTGGTCAAAAAGGGACCCTGGCAGCTCCGGTCAGCACTGCTGACCGGGCCGTTAAAAGTCCAGTCGGTGGTGCAGCGGGGCTAAGGCAGGCTCTCTGCCTGCCCTGGCTCCGTGTGACTCCTGGAAGCAGTCAGCATATCCCTGCGGCCCCTAGGCACAGGGGTGATCAGGGAAGCTCTGAGCACTGCCCCTGCCCTGAGTGGCGGTTCCACAGCTCCCATTGGCCAGGAACCAGGGCCAGTTTGAGCTGCGGGGGCAGTGCCTGCGGGCGCTGAGGCACCTGCCGACCCTGCGCCTAGGAGCCGGACATGCTGGCTGCTTCCAGGAGCTACGCAGAGCCAGGGCAGGCAGGGAGCCCCGCAGACTGGGAAATGCCTGCAGTAAGCACCGCCAGGTTGGAGCCTGCACCCCAAACCCTCTCCAGCACCCCAACCCCAGCTTGGAACCCTCTCCTGCACCCAAACTCCCTCCTGGAGCCCACACCCCTGCTCCAGCCTTGAGCTCACTTCCACACTTCAAACCCCTCGGCTCCAGCTCGGACCCCCTCCTGCACCCCAAACCCCTCATCCCTGGCCCCACCCCAGAGCCTGCACCTCCAGCTGGAGACTTCACCCCCTCCTGCACCCCTACCCCAGCCCAGAGCCCCCTCCCACACCCTGAACCCCTCATTTCTGGTCCCACCCCAAAGCCTGCACCCCCAGCCAGAGTCATCACCCCCTCCCACACCTCAAAACCTTGCCCCAGCAGGGTCTAGGGGAAGAGGAGGGGCAGAGGGTGGGGCCAGGGGCGGCTCTAGGCACCAACAAAGCAAGCAGGTGCTTGGAGCAGCCCATTTGCAAGGGCGGCAGCCGGCAGGGAGCCAGCATGGGAGCTAAGAACCAAGAGTGGGCCCTGGGAACTGTAGTTCCTTGGTTAGCTCCCTGCCCATAGAGCCAGCCCTGGAGCAGGGAAAGAACTACATTTCCTAGCATTCCCTTGGCCGCTATCAACAGGAAAGGGAGGGGGAGGGAGAGGGAGTATGGTAGCCGAAACCTCATGCTGCAGCTTGCTGTGAATGGAGAGCTCACTGCTAGAGTGGAGTGGCACTGAATGGGGAACAAGTAAGGAGTAGAAGGCTTTGGCCCAGATATCCCCTTCAGAAGACATCCCCAGCCTGGATTAGGTATACTGGTGTGACCTCACCTTGCAGCCCCCAAAGAAAGAATTGGATAGATTAAATGGACAGTGCACCTCTCTATCTGAAGCCTAGCAAGGGAAGTACGTGGATCCCACTAGAATTTAAAATGAAAAGTAAGGGAGGGGAGGCTCTGGACCTGGGCAGCTTTAGATACAGTACCAGGCACGTAGGAGGATTTCCACTTCTGAGCCATGGAAGCAGAAATTGACTTTTCCTTTCCAGATTTAGCTAATATTCAGACAGGGAATCTAGC